TTCAGCACCAGGAGGAGCAGGCGCAGTATCAAGAACCACCCAGATATCAGGAACAACCTCGGAACCAGAACCAGAGAGGTCGTGGTTTTAGATCTCGGAGTGTGAGGGAATCTGGTAACTCTTCTAACTTTGTTGGCCCTAGACACTCTCATTCCTTCAAACGTCAGGGTCAAGGTTCAGGTTCTTCCAGCGAGGGTTCGGGTAATGAATCAGGGATGCGATCTTTCAGTTATTTCCGGTCGCAGGTTACATGCCACAGGTGTGGAGGCATGGGACATATTGCCAGATTTTGCCCTTCAGGACAGCCTGCTGAGAGTTATGCATCGGTGCCGAGTTATGATGGAGGGAGTAATCCGAGTTCTAGCTATGGAGGTAATTACACTCAGAGCTATGGTGGAAGTGGAAGTGGAAGTCAGAATACCCAATTTTCCACTCAGAGACAGCCGCAACAGTTTGGTGCAGCTTCGAGTAGCCGTTCTCAGGGGAATCGAGCAGGCCGTAATAATCAAGGTTTCAGAGCTCGTGGTAACCGTAACAGTGGAGCAGGACGTCAGTTTCATGGATGTATCAACGCCATGACACAGCAGGAGGCTGATCAGGATCCTCAAGTCATTACCGGTATGTTACTTATTTGTGGTAATTGGGCGAAGGTTCTAATTGATCCGGGTGCTACCTTTTCTTTTGTGTCTTCATCATTTGCACCGAATTTAAATGCACCACCTACACCTCTTGGTTATGATATGCTTGTGCAAATGCCGCAAGGGGATCTGTTTTTGTGCTCAGTGGGAGTATAAAAGTTACCCAGTGGTAGTTGAAGGGGAAATGATGGAGGCTAATATGGTCCCTTTTCATTTGGCGGAGTTTGATGTGATTTTGGGGATGGATTGGCTATCCAGGCACCGTGCTTATGTCGCATGTTGGGAGAAATCTGTGACGTTCAACCGGCCTGGACGACCGTCAATCACATTTCAGGGTGAGCGACGAATCCTTCCTAGTAGTATTATTTCCGCTATTCAGGCTACTAGATTGTTGAGTAGGGGATGTGTGGGATTCTTAGCTCATGTAGTAACGAGGGATAAATCTTCGTTGCGTCCTAAGGATGTGCCAGTGGTGAAGCATTACACCGATGTTTTTCCGGATGATTTACCAGGGTTACCACCTGCGAGGGAAATTGAATTTACCATCGATTTACTTCCAGGAACAGACCCTATCTCTTTAGCACCTTATCGCATGGCACCGGCGGAGTTGAGGGAATTGAAGGTTCAACTTCAGGAGTTGGTGGATAAAGGTTACATCCAACCCAGTATGTCTCCCTGGGGTGCTCTTGTTTTATTTGTTAAAAAGAAGGACGGATCGATGAGACTTTGCATCGACTATCGGCAGTTAAACCGGGTGACGGTGAAGAATCGTTATCCTTTGCCTTGGATCGATGATCTGTTCGACCAGCTGAAGGGTGCTCAGGTTTTCTCTAAGATCGATCTTCGCTCAGGTTATCATCAGTTACTAATTCGGGAGGGAGATGTACCGAAGACTGCTTTCCGCACTAGGTATGGACACTTTGAATTTCGTGTCATACCTTTCGGACTGACGAATGCACCTGCAGCGTTCATGGATTTGATGAACAGAGTTTTCAGACCGTATTTGGATCGGTTTGTGATTGTGTTCATTGATGATATTCTGATCTTTTCCAAGAGTGTCAGCGACCACAAGAAGCATTTGAGGTTGGTGTTGGAAAGGTTGAGCAGTGAGCAGTTGTATGCTAAGTTTAGCAAGTGTCAGTTCTGGCTAAAACCAAATTAGCTTTTCTCGGTCATGTAGTATCTGCTGAGGGGATTAGTGTGGATCCTCAGAAGGTGTCAGCAATAACTACGTGGGAGCAACCGAGGAATGTTACTGAAGTGAGGAGTTTTCTAGGTCTAGCTGGCTATTACCGAAGATTTGTTAAAGGTTTCTCAGCCATTGCCTTACCTCTGAATAAGTTGACTCGAAAGGAAGTGGAGTTTAAGTGGGATGAAGATTGTGAGCGGAGTTTTCAGGAACTGAAGCGATGTCTTACTCAAGCTCCCGTTCTTACTCTTCCAGATAATAGCGGTGAGTTTGATATCTACACGGATGCATCCCTATCAGGTTTGGGTTGTGTACTGATGCAGCATGATAAAGTCATTGCTTATGCTTCCAGACAGCTCAAGACTCACGAGAGAAACTATCCCACTCATGATTTGGAGCTCGGTGCAGTGGTATTTGCTTTGAAGATCTGGAGACATTACTTGTACGATGAGAAGTGTCGTATCTTTACTGATCATAAGAGCCTCAAGTATATCTTTACTCAAAGAGATTTGAATTTGAGGCAGAGAAGATGGATGGAACTTATCACTGATTATAACTGCACGATCGAGTATCATCCCGGACATGCCAATGTAGTGGCGGATGCACTTAGTCGGAAATATCATGGATAGCTTGCATCTCTCCAAGCTATTCATGTTCCACTACTATTTTCTCTGCGAGAAACAGGTTTGTCGGTGAGACCGGGTGAGCAAGGAGCGTGGTTGGCAAATTTCCAAGTTAGACCTGTTTTGGTGGATATGGTCATAGAAGCTCCGGAGCTTGATCAGGAAAGTGCCAACATTAAGGTCTCGGTGGAAAAAGGAGAAGAGGAGCATTTTATCATCCGAAGTGATGGAGCCTTGATGTGGGAAAATAGATTGTATGTTCCTCATGATAACGAAGCAGTGAAAAGAGCAATTCTGGATGAAGCACATCTGTCAGCTTATGCCATGCATCCGGGAAGTACTAAATTGTATCGTACTATCCGTCCGTTCTATTATTGGTTAGGAATGAAGCGGGATGTGGCGGATTATGTGAGTAGATGCATCATTTGTCAACAAGTGAAGGCAGCGAGGCAAAGACCTGGAGGATTGATGCAGAATCTTCCGATACCAGCATGGAAATGGGAAGACATCACCATGGATTTGTGTATGGTCTGCCGAGGACGCGGTCAAGATTGGACGGCATTTGGGTAATTGTTGATCGACTGACTAAGACCGCTCATTTCTTGCCTGTTCGACAGACCTATTCACTAGAGAAATTATCGAAGTTGTTTATCGATAATATTGTTAGACTTCATGGTGTACCTGTCTCTATTGTTTCAGACAGAGATCCCAGATTTACTTCCAGATTTTGGAAAGCTTTTAATACTGCCATGGGTACTCAGTTGCTGTTTAGTACTGCTTATCATCCATAGACTGACGGTCAGTCTGAGAGGACAATACAAACATTGGATGACATGTTGAGAGTGTCTGTTCTTCAGTGGAAGGGTAGTTGGGATAGCTATCTGCCGTTGGTTGAGTTTGCATACAACAACAGCTACCATTCGAGTATTGGTGTGGCACCTTATGAAGCCTTGTATGGGAGAGTGTGTCGAACGCCGTTGTGTTGGGCAGAGGTCGGCGAGCGAGTATTGTTGGGACCGGAGATTGTAGACACTACCAATGAGAACATCCAGCTGATAAAGAGAAATCTCAAGGCAGCTCAAGACCGACAGAAAAGCATAGCGGACAAACATTCAAAAGATCATGAGTACAAGGTTGGTGACTTTGTATTCTTGAAGTTGTCTCCCTGGAAGGGTGTGGTTCGTTTTGGTAAGCGAGGAAAGTTGAGTCCTCGATATGTTGGTCCTTATCAGATTACGGAGAGAATTGGTGCAGTTGCCTATAGATTGGAGTTGCCACCAGAGTTATCTCAGATTCACAATGTTTTCCATATTTCTATGCTTCGGAAATATGTATCGGATCCCTTTCATGTTATTCAACTAGAGTCGCTGGAAGTAAGTCCGGATGTTAGTTATGTTGAAGAACCAGTGGCTATTCTTGACCAGCAGAATAAAGTGTTGAGGAACAAGGTCATTCCGTTGGTGAAAGTGCTGTGGAGGAACCACGCTACTGAAGAAGCGACGTGGGAAACGGAAGACCTGATGAGGAGTCAGTATCCGTATTTATTTGCTTGAAGTTGTAATTTCGGGGACGAAATTTTTATAAGGGGGGTAGATTGTAACACCCGCCCCCATTTATAAAATTATACGTGTGTAATGTTCCCTAAATATTCTAAATCTAGCAATTTTACCCTTTTTGGACTACCCTATCAGGATCTAAACATTGGATCCCTTATTTCTTTTCACACTGCCATGTGGCAGCTCCCTAGCAATTTCCCTTTCCTTCTCTCTCTGTCCCCCCCCGGTGACTCCTTCTTTCTTCTTCTTCTTTTTCTGTTTTCTTTTCTTTCCTGCTTCTATCTCTCTCTCTCTCTCTCTCGGCCCTCTCTCATAGCTCCCTCATCTCTCTTCTCTGCAGCAACCCGCACGCACGCACCCGTCTCCCCCGCGCGAGGAAGACCCATCTCCTTCTTCTCTCTCCCTCTGTCCCGTGCTGCAACCCCAGGAAACCGGAGAGGAACTCCGGCGAGTTTCCATTTTTCCCGGTGAGGTAAGCTCCAAACCTTCCGTTTTTCATCCTAAAATCTTGTGGGTTGAGTTTTAATGGAGGTTAATTCGTGATTTTCGAGGTTTTTAGGACGAATCGAAGCCGGGTGTAAGCACACCCAACTCCGGCGATCCCGAGGGTGTCGGGGCTTTTTCCGGCCATCTCCAGCCGTTCCACGACGAAAGGAAGGTATAAAAACACTCCCCTCGTCTTGCTCTTCGTTTTGGTACCTAGATCGGACTCTAGGGTGGTGTGTGGTAGTCGGCCGGAGCTGTGAAGCTCCGGTGGTGGTGCTCCGATGAGGCCAGGCCTCCCAGGCCGGTTTCGAATAGCAGGAGGGCCTTAGGCTCGTGTGGTGAGGCCAGCCCAATCCAACCCATTTCCTTTTAATTGTTTAAGTTAATTTCTGTTTTAAGACCAAAGGCCCTTGGGCCGTTTTTACTTAGGGCCGAAGCCCATTAGCCAAACCCAAAAACCTTTTAAGGTTTTTGTTATTTTCTGTTATAAAATTAAGGCCCTTGGGCCGTTTATGTTTAGGGCATTAGGCCCGTGTGTGTAGCCCAAGCAGATTAGGCCTTGGGCCAATCTGAGTTGGGTTTTCAACCCAAAACCCTTAAAGCCCATTCGGCCCAACCCAAATTCAAAGCCCAGTTGACTTTGACCTCTGACCAGTTGACTGTTGACTGTTGACTCAGTCAACGGTCAACGGTCAGAGTTGACTTTGACTTTGACCAGTCAACGATCAACGTTGACTTTTTGAGTTGACTTTTTGGGGTTTCGTTCAGGACCTCTCCTAGGCTAATTTCAACGTCCTGAACCCGTTTTTGAAGTCCGTTTTCCCAAATTCAATCGTTTGATTAGAGTTTGACCAAAGGTACTCCTTTATGTGAATAGGTGAAATTATTAACGGTGATTCTGCTATACCTTTTTGGTACAGCTTTGCATCATCGGTGTACGGTGAGTGGACCCCTTCAAAATCATGTTTTAACAATAGAAATGCATACACGAAAAGCATGATTTAATACTTATGTTTTACAAAGTACTTTATGAGATATATGCTTACTGAGGCTAGATTGAATTATTACTATTTTTCCTATAACCCATGTTCTTATAGAATATCTGATGGATGACGATATGATATTTGGAACATGTTTGGAACACCTCTTTGTAGTATAGATGATGGATGACTTTATACTACGAAGTTGTTTTTCAATATGTTTATGCTCAATGGTTTTGTACTTACCTAGTGGTCCTTTCCGCTACGGGACGTAGGGATAGATTCCGGTCCGTCCCGAGCGACGGTTTGGTGTTGGCATAGGGCCTGGAGTGTGTTTCCTCTGGCTATTTAGCACAGGGACGAGGAGCCGGCATGGGGCCTGTAGTGTATTTTCCTCTGATTGTCTGCTCAGAGACGGGGAGCTGGCATGGGGCCTGCAGAGTATCAGACAATTCACTAGTGTTTATTACTTATACAAGTTATGAATTTGAGATATTGCACAGCATGCTAGGTTTCGGAAAACCTATTTTGATCATGATATATATATGTTTTCATAAACCTGGGGGTTAGTATGTTGATAACTGTTTTATTATATTTATATCAAATTGGTCCACTCATGTTTGTTTTGCGCCCCCTTCAGGACCTACGAACGAGGATTACGATATAAGCTACGAGGCCTTTCCCTACCAGTGATCCAGTGCTATACTTCTTCTGCTTCGATATCTTTTGTAATATAGCACATCTCTATCTTAAATTCTGTTTGTACTCTGTAATAGACGTATGCTCTGACATTATGCGTTGATCCTAATGTTATTAATTAGAAGTTGATTTTGTAGTATTATTGTGGCTAGTCCTGCTGCCTGTTTTAGCTTATTTATGAGTTTTACTTAAATTAATGGCTTTCGTCACCCTTTGGGTGTCGGCCAGCACGTGATCATCCCGATGTCATGAGGACATCGGGATCGGGGCGTGTCAGCTTCCACACCCTGTAGCGCCTTAAGCAACCCTTGTTGAACTAGCACAGCTCGCATCTTAACCTGCCAAAGGCTAAAATCATTCCTCCCATTGAATTTTTCAATATCATATTTCACCGACATATTCGAAGGTTTCATAGACATACTTGTACAAAGCCCCAAGTCGAAACCCAGAGCTCTGATACCACTTGTTGTGCTAGGATAGCACCAAATATGAAACCAATAAGCAACAACGGCAAAATATGACAATACAAAATCCAAATGACACAAAGGATTTATACTGGTTCGGCGTAAGCCTACGTCCAGTTCCGAGATGGCGAGAAAATTCCACTAATATCAAAAGGAGATTACAAATTGATGTTTTAACTCTCAAACCCAAAGCCCATATACACCCAATAGCTCTCACTCTCACAAAGAAACAAATGGAGAAGATGGAAACATATACCAAATTGCTTCTCTCCCAAAAGCCACAAAATGTAGCACAAATATCTTTGATTGAGTGATCACTAACAAAGGGGGATTACAAACAAATGGGAAGGAGCAGCACTGTTTTAAATGGGAGAGTCGAATGCTTTCTCCTCTGCTCTACTTGCTCTCTGCAGAAAATGAGTTCACACCTTTCCTTTAAATAAAAATCAGCCCCTTTTCTTCTCCTCCTTTCTTCCAGCCGAAAACCAACTAATTATGGCTTTGAAAAAGCCACAAAATAAGGAACAAAACAAGCCACAAAACAAGGAACAAAACAAGCCACAAAACAAGGAAACATAATCCTCATCATGATGTTCCCTCATCAATTTTCTTTCATTCTTTTGTTTTGTTTCCTAGCCTAATTTGGCCACTATCCAACAAAAAAGCTACTAAATCAACAGTCTGAGTTGATACAATTTCTCCACTTTTGTGTTCTTTCGTGGTTTCTCCTCTTGTTTGTATTCTTCTACTTGTTTGTTATCATGAACGTTTACTCTGTTTTAGCTTTGATTTTTCCGGATGAAGACTTGGTAGTCTTTAATACAACGTAAGGCCCGCCACCACATCAATACGAGCTAAGCGGGGAAATTTCTTCGTACTTTGGTGACTTACAGCATGTTGAATCTCCACTTCTCTCTAGATTAGCTTTGAGCCTTTGGCATCTATGAAGTGAGTTGAAGAGCTTTACATAATGGTATCTAAACTATTTAAGAAACAAAATTCTTGCACTAGGAATTGTACTCCCCGTGTATCTGAATCAGTCTCTCTCCTCACGCGACAATTAGGAGCGGTGTACATGTAAGTTTTAGCCCGGATGTAGGCCGGAAATGTCACCCTCTCTTCTCCGCTTGCTCACTTGTTTCAGCACCTTAATCAATAGTATGTCGACATCGAATAAGGACCCTACTTGTAGCAGGCTGTAAACCCCACTAGGAAATTGGGGAAGGACTTCGACGTCGACTAGTCAAGCAAGCCACAAGTCTCGTAGAAACCTTCCCCACAAAGTTAAAACAGTAGCAATCTCATTCTTCCACAATCTGTCTCAATCCAACTATACACATTAATGCATGCGAATTAGTAGCCAATGAAAAAAGTAAAATTACGAAAAACAAAAAGGAAATCTATGCATAAATGAGTACGAACGTTGATGTCTCCTCCGTGACGACTGCTGAATATATTCCTAATACCCTGAGCCTAAGCTCTTTACGGCATTTTCTGTCATATATCAGCAAGAGCTTCCGATGAAAATTCCTCTGTTTTCATGGCCTTTCTTAATACCCCTTTACTACCTTTCACTCAGCGTAAACATATTTCTTGTCTCCGGCCAATGTCCAGGGGATCAGCAATCTTTGTTGCTACAATTGAAGAACAGCCTCACATTTGACCCTGCAACATCTAAGAAACTTGTGAAGTGGAAGAATGGATCGGATTACTGCTCTTGGGATGGTGTGTCCTGCAAAAAGGGTTGTGTTTCGAATCTGGACTTGAGCAGCGAGGAAATTACAGGTGGACTTGATAATTCGAGTTCTCTTTTCAGTCTCAAGTCAATCGAGAACCTGAATTTGGCTTACAACTTCTTCAACCATACTCAGATTCCATCCGAGTTCAAGCAGCTAACCGGTTTGAGTAATCTGAACTTGTCGAATGCTGGCTTTGCGGGGCAGGTTCCAATTGAGATTTCGCACCTGAAAAGGTTGGTAACTTTTGATTTGTCTACCTTTTATTTCCCCGGAACTCCTTCGTTGAATCTTGAGAATCCGAAATTGGATGTGCTGCTTAGGAACTTTTCTGAGCTTGTTGAACTTTATCTTGATGGTGTGAATATATCAGCACAGGGGACTGAGTGGTGCCAAGCGATATCATCTTCATTGCCTAACTTGAGGGTGTTGAGCTTGTCCACTTGTAACCTTTCAGGCCCTATTCATATTTCATTACTGAAGCTTAAGTCACTCTCAGTTATTCGTATTGACAGCAACAATTTGTCTACTCAAGTTCCGGAGTTCTTCTCGAATTTCCCAAATTTGGCTTCCTTACAAATCATGAATTCTGGATTATATGGTGCATTCCCAAAGAATATCTTCCAGGTGCCGACACTGCAGACCATTGATTTATCCGGTAATCCGCAGCTTCAAGGTTCCTTACCAGAATTTCCGAAGAATGGCTCTCTTCGATCGCTGGTTCTCAATGGGGCAAATTTCTTAGGCCAGATGCTTCCGAACTCTATTGGGAACCTCAAATTGCTGTCCAACATAGATATTGGAAATTGCAATTTCACTGGATCAATCCCCAAGTCAATGGAAGACCTTACACAGTTGGTTTATTTGGACTTGTCGATGAACAAGTTCAATGGTTCAGTTCCATCTTTCAGTATGGCCAAGAATCTGACCCTAATAGATGTTTCTTACAATCAGCTAACGGGTCAGATTAATTCCTCACTCTGGGAAAACCTGACTAGTCTGGTGAATCTCGACTTGCGACGCAATCTACTTAATGGGACTATTCCACCATCTGTGTTTTCTCTTCCCACGCTACAGAAGCTACAGCTTTCTAACAATGAATTTTCAGGTCAGTTGCTTGAATTTGATGCTATATCTGCACTGGACACCCTTGATTTGAGTAGCAACAAGTTGGAAGGGCCAATTCCCAAGTCTATCTTGAAATTCCGAGGGCTTAAGATTCTTTTACTATCTTCAAACAACTTCACTGGCTCTTTTCTTCTGAATGATATTCAGCAGCTAAAAAATCTTTCGAGTCTCGATCTTTCATACAATAGCTTGTCTATTAATTACACTGAGACCAATTCCTCTCATTCTTCATTTCCAAATATTACCACGTTGAAGTTAGTTGCTGGCAATTTGACAAGAATCCCAAGTTTCTTAAGAAGTCAATCAAAATTAAGCACTTTGGACCTATCACAAAACCAGATTCATGGTGAGATACCCAACTGGATTTGGAGGCTCAGTAATCTTGTTCAACTAAATCTTTCTTGCAACTCTCTGGAAACTCTAGAAGGTCATTTCCTCAATCTTACTTCTATTTTGTCTGTGCTTGACCTTCATTCCAACCAGCTTCAGGGACAAATTCCAATGCTTCCAGGATTGGCCACTTATCTGGATTATTCGAGAAACAACTTCAGCTCTAGCATACCGGCAGACATTGGTGATTTCCTTATGTACACAGTGTTCTTCTCTCTTTCAAGCAATAAGTTCCAAGGCAGCATTCCAGAATCAATCTGCAAGGCGTCATATCTTCAGGTTCTTGATTTGTCCAATAATTCTCTAGGTGGAACGATTCCCTGGTGCTTGACTGAGATAAGCAGGACACTGGCAGTACTTAATCTGAGGAGAAACAGACTTGGTGGCTCTGTCCCTAATAGATTTCCACAGCATTGTAGTTTAAAAACTCTCGACCTCAGTGGAAATCAGATAGCAGGTCTATTTCCAAAATCTCTTGCCAACTGCACAATGCTAGAGGTTCTAAACATGGGAAACAATCAGATAATGGATATCTTTCCTCGCTTGTTGAGGAATATATCCTCCTTGCGTGTCCTAGTTTTGCGATCCAACCACTTTTATGGACAAGTTGGATGTAACACGACCAGTGACGCCTGGCCAAAGCTTCAAATTGTTGACATAGCTCACAACAATTTTAGTGGTGAAATACCAGGAAGATGTTTGATAACCTGGTCAGCAATTATGGCTGACGACGATGATGCCATGGCAAAGATCAATCAACTCCAATTTCTAGTTCAACAGTTCAGTCAGGTATATTATCAGGATACTATAACAGTTACCATCAAAGGTCTAGAGTTGGAATTGGTAAAGATCTTAACAGTCTTCACCTCGATTGACTTCTCCTGCAACAAATTCAATGGATCAATACCTGAGGAAGTGGGAGACCTCAAATCACTCTATGGCCTAAACTTGTCTAGTAATGTTTTCACAGGTACAATCCCATCATCACTGGGTAACCTACGACAGCTTGAGTCCTTGGACCTTTCAGACAACAAATTGAGCGGAGAAATTCCCCAAGAGCTTGTCAAACTTAATTTCCTCTCGTTCCTGAATCTCTCAAACAATCAACTGAATGGGAAGATTCCAACTGGCACTCAGATTCAATCTTTTGCACCAGATTCTTTCGCTGGCAATAAAGGATTGTGGGGGCCTCCTTTGACAGTTGATATCACCTCACGATTGCCACCACCACTAGAAAAAGGTCATTCTAATGCTCAACCTGAGATTGATTTTGATCTTATAAGTACTGAGATTGGATGTATCTTCGGCTTTGGAGCTGTCATCGGGCCACTCGTGTTCTGCAAGAGATGGCGGAAATGGTATTACAAAACTGTGGAGAGCATCTTCTTTAAAGTATTTCCTCAACTTGAAGAAAGAATCGGTCC